AGTAATTATTGAGTCATGCGATGATAATTTTACACCTTTTTTTCCCTAAATTCATCTATGTGTGGGGAAAGATAGAGAACAGAAAATGAAATTTCAAATTTTAGAACAAATGCAGAAATTCACCAATTTAACTATTTCCACCATAGCTATATTCAGCGTTCGTCATTTTCTTGTGAATTCTCTTTAAATTCCATTTTTTCTAATGAACTACAAATGACAAAATGTGATACAAAATAAAAAACAAAAGATCAAAAGTTAGAAAAATAAGTGTGCAAGAGTATGCGCTACTAAAATATGTACTTTTAAAGAGCACTAAAAACGACATGTGTATGGGAAATCAGAATTAGTCCTCAATATCAAATTATTAACTATGTAATAACTGACATATTTTAAAATATAATTAGCAATTATTTGTACCATTCAAGTAATAGAAAGTGATTTACTAAAACCGTTAAAAAAATACCTTCCTTTTAAATGATAGTTTATGTTAGAATGTTTTGGAAACACTGACGCACTAGTATTTAAAACAAGTAAATAGATATTTTTCTATAACATTTTTTTCTGGCAATATTGTTACAAGCAAAGATTGTTAAGCATTGAATTAGTGTCTTTACATCATGGAGTAGATTAATAGTCTGTGTTTGACTATTAACTCCCGCTTACTTGAAGCTCATAGGACACAATATTAATTGCTTTATCTGTTTTGCTCACATTTTATAATTTGATGAACATTAGTATAGACAGTTATTTACTACACATAGGATGAGGTAGAGGCACAACACATGCCTACACAGTCACAGTAAAAAATAAAAAGGATTAGACCTAAACTGCAGGAGCTCCACACTGTAGTCCCAGCAAAACAAGTGCTTACATTAGCCAAAGTATTTTTTTTTCTATTGTCATTTAAATTAACTCTGTCATTTGACCCAGCGATGCAAACCACTAAAGTTTAGCAGAATTGGTAATGACAACTACTAGAGGTGCTTCTGTTGAAATAACTGAGTCAGACTCAGTTATTTAAGCAAATGCTTCTCATAGAGAACATTTGATACTTAGCAGCGCATGCACACTATACCTCCAATGCTTTCCTTTGGGGAAGCATTGGATTGGCTGACATCATGAAAATTCATGATCTTAGCTAAGGAGACATGAATGCCTTGGTGAGACCAGTGGGCCGTGGGATATAAGGTAAGGAAATCATACCTTTTAAACCCTCAAAGGTAGGGGTGGGAGCCCAGACTCCTAAATAGGTAAAGGAACACTATAGCGTTAGGAATACATGTTTATATATCTGACACTAGTGGACCTTTAAGTTTTATTTTTCTTAACAAAATTATCAGCAATCTTGATTTAATTTGTGGGGTGAATAAGTAGTCCTTAAAAAGCTATTCTGAGTGTAGAATGCTCTTCAGGTATAACGAAAAATGCACATTTTTATAAATGTATACAATTTAAAATTTTCACTTTTTTGTTTATCTATTACAAAAATATAGAGGGAATTATTAGTAGTAACAGAGTACACTTTATTTTCCAATTCTTCACCCTTCTTTAATATTAGCACGGAATTGTTTGCCGATAATCTTGAAACAAAAATGGAATGAAAGTCAAATAAATGCTGACTGTGAATCCACCTAGTGATTTCTTTCTTCTAATTTGAAGAAATATAAAATGAGACCTAGACTAATATTCACGACAGTGTCTCCACTGAGTGAATTTCGCGCATATAGATTAAGGGAAGCCTCTATACCAGGCACCTCAAACTCTGGCCTCCACAATGTTGCTGAACTTCAATTCCCATGATTTTCTATTGTATTCAAATATATCTGGGTGTTGTGGGCCATGCTATACCTACAATATAAACCCAATATGTGCTTAGAAAAGTTAGCAATCCAATCCAACACTTTTCATGACATTAACATGCACCTTACTATACACACCGTATAATAATACGAGGAATTCAGAGGCTCACTAAAGGTTTCGCAGAGGTCCATAGGGCTCGTTAATAGTTCTTTAATCTATTACCTGCCACACATGCATAGTTAAATTGAAATAAGTGGTATTATGAAGCTCACTCTGGGTTGAAGGGATATCCATTGTACCCCTTAATAGTTCTTATTAACTTCTTATCTCCCACTCATGGGTAAATAGACATAAGAGATTGCCTGAGGCTCACACAGATTTGATGGCAGGTCCATGGGACCACTTAATAGTTATTTTAATCTCTTGCCTACCATTAATGGCTAGATGGACATAACAAACAGTCTGAGGCTGAAACAGGATTGATGGGTAGTCTGCGGGACCCCTTAATATTAATTTTTAACCCTTTACCTGCCACACATGGATAAATGGAAATTAGAGGTTTTCGGAGGCTAACTTGAGGTTGATGGGAGGTCTATCGTGCCCCTTAATAGTTATTTTTAACCTCCTTGAGGCTCACTCCTACGTGATAGGAAGTCCTTTACCCACCACACATAGTTAAATGTGGTTGGGTATAGTTGAGTCAGTCCCATGGTTCATTAAGTTGTCTTTACAACCCCAATATATATATATATATATATATATATATATCTGCATACAAAAACACATAATGGAAAAATGTAATGGAAACCTATAAATGAACATAAATGAAAATCTAAATTACGTTAGACAGTCACCATCAGACAGATAATAATTAATGAAGTGAGTTTGACTGAAATTGTATTTTACAAATAGAAGTGACAAAAGCTCCCAGACAAAAATTCCATTAACCAAAACCATGGCATGGTCACAAAATGTTTCTGGCCACGATGTCTGAATAGGTGTATTTTTCAGAAAGTATGGCATGTTTGTTATTTATCTTAGACACAGATCAAAACAAAAATGTACAGGAAAAAAAAATGATATAAAAAATATTTGACTGCATGAAATGTATTGAAAGACACAACATACCCATTCAGCTTGGAAACAAGTGAAAGAGTTTAATTTCATAGGTGTTGGTTTGACTCAGAATTTCCAAAGCTATTTAAGGTGTTAATCCCCTTTTAGCAGACAGTAAGGTAGTTAAAATACTGTCTTCTCTTTCCTCCCTGGCTTTTCTCAAGAATCAACTGAAAGCATTTCTTTGCTTTACCTCCTTGTACCCATAACTAAAATATTCCTTCCTGGTTTGGAAATCATCCTGAAATTATGAAACAAAGACTATTTGGACGTTGTGGATGAAGTGACTTTAATGCCTGACTCACGGCTGTGACAATTTTAAATTGAAATTGCAATAAAGAAAGTCTTGTGCCCATTTTTAACTCTCGAACACCAAGCGGAGACACAGCTTATTAAGGAACACACATCCAAAAATATCCAGATGAATACATCATTTAACTATCCATTCATCATGACTCTTACTTCTGGTATAAAATATTTATTTCAGTGTTTGTGCTGTTACATCTGTTTTTTTTATTGTTACTCTATGGTTCTGATTTAATCAACGGGTATCATTAATACTGCAGTGGGTGCACTAAATCCCTAGCGTAATGGAGCCGATGTACAAAAAGGATTTAGAGCATACACAAGATATTCAAATATTTCAAGGTCAACTAAAAGCCCCAATTTCAAATCAATATATGTACTGTGGGATGTGTTAATGCCACAAAGCCATACTGCCTTAAAGAGACCCTACATACCCATAAAGTACTGTAGCTTGCTAAAGCAATCTATGTGTGCAGAGTGTGTCCTCTTAATTCAATTTACAAAAAAGTGCAGATTTTAATAGAAATTGAAACTTTCATAAATTAACTTTGTAACACCCCCTTGGCTGTCAATCAAACAACCAGCCTGTTACTTCCTGGTTGTTTAGCTCACTGGAGCTAAACTCTAGAGGCAGCAATTTTCCAGAGCATCTTACTTGCAAAGACTTCTTATTGAGCTACATTGGGAAGTTTCTATTTGGACAGACACAGAAAGTCTGGACGGGGAAGAAGCAGAGTGTCTTCAGTTTTTGCAAACTGTTTTTGGAGATACCCTCAATGCAAGCATATTTTCATTTGGGTATATCTACTAAATGTGATTATTTATTTATGTTTGTATTTCAGCTGTGGAGTGTCTCTTTAAATATCAAAGGATTCTAATATAGAGATTTGCATGCTACCTACCCAAGATACTTTTTATGGGGTATCAGGCTGTGTATAGGTGCCAAACTCACAAAGCCAGTCAGAGCCTGTTAAACACCTGGACGAATATGGGGAACACAAACCAGAATGTGCTGCTAAATTTATAGATTTATACAAAATACATAATAGGAAATATGTGCACACACAAAGTACAGTTTCAAATTTTTCAATACAATTTAAAATAATACATGTGTGGTCATAGATTTGAAATGTGGGTATTTTTACGTGGTTTGAAAAAAGTATCCTATAGTACTAAACTCACTATTTAGGTGGCTTGTCAGCCCTCAGCCTTCTTAAAAGGAATTAAAACTTACCTTTTTCCCAGCGCCGTGCGGGTCTGCTGGCCCCGCCCCCAATCCGCCTCCTTGATGACATCATCAGAATTTAAGATTTTTAGCCAATCCAATGCTTCCCTATAGGGAAAGCATTGGATTGGCTAAAATCGGCAAGGAGGCAGGATGGGGGCGGGACCAAACGTTGTTTTAGCCAATCAACACTTCTTCATAGAGATGAATTGAATCAATGCATCTCTATGAGGAAAATTCAGCGTCCCCCGGTAGAGCGTGGAGAAGCTGAATGGCAGTGCTGCCTACTGTGCAGCACTACCCTAGGAAGCATCTCCAGCTGCCATCTGAGCAGTGGCCACTTGGAGGTATCCCTAGGGGCAATGTAAACACTGACTTTTCTCT